CCCAGGAAAAATCTGTTGTGATCGATCTCGCTATCGATCTCACTATCGATCTCTCGATCACGATCGATCACGCAAGCGATCTCACTTTCGATATCACTGTCGATCTCAGGACTGATCTCACGAAATACTGTCGAGACACCACGGCGGGACACCCGGCGCCACCGTCGGGACACCCCGCGCCACCGACGAGCTGCACCCCGCGCCACCGACGGGGTGCCCTCGAGCCACCCACGGGGCACCCCGCCACCGACGGGGCACCCCGCGCCACTGGGAGGAGGAGGAGGAGGAGGAGGAGGAGGAGGAGGACGAAGAGGAGGAGGAGCAGGACGAAGAGGAGGAGGAGGAAGACGGTCACCGCGCGCCAGGGGGGGGCGGGGGACAAACGGCTCCACAGTGGCTAGCCACGGCGGCTTCATTCCTCTCGCGCGCCCACGCAGCTTCGCCTTGCCCGCACGCACGACACGAACACGAAACCGACACCGATTTCCCTGTGGGGGGGCTCTCCGATCAATTGCATCGCACCCCCAACCTCCGACTTACGACAACGACGGCGGCGACCGCGAGGGCGAGAGGAGCGGAAACCCCGAAACGGCGCAAGGACAAACCGTGCACCGACTTCGAAAACCCCACAGACCTCACCGCATCGTCCGCCACCGCGCCAGCGGCAGCTGCAGGACGAAGTGGGCGAGGATAGCAACGATCGGTCGAATCGAAACGGCCCTGCACCTGCCATCGCTTCGGCACGCGCGTGCACCACCGCCCGCTTCCGCGAGCGCGCTGCCGCGCGCCCTCGGGCACGGCCGTGCGCGCGCGCGTGCGCGGACCCTCGGCCGCGCCGGCACGATGGTGTCCATCTCCACCGCAGCGGAGCCGTGCCCAGGGGCCGAGGAGCGCTGGATGTGGATATCGACCCGCCCGTGCGGACACTGCGGTTGATCTGGATCTCTGCCCTGTGGTTGAGATCGAAACCTGCCCGCCCGCATGCGCGGGCAGACCGAAGTGAGGGCTTTCCGCCGAATCGAATCTCCATTCGAGCTGTGCGCGCGTTGGCTGATTCGGGGCAGGTCCACGTCAATTATAGCATTGGTATCTTTAGTATACCCAGTATTATTATGCTTCGTCTTTCCTCCTTCTTTCATCCTTCTTTCCTCCTTCTGCTTATCATTCTTCTTTCCTCCTTCTGCTTCTGCTTCGTCTTCTGCTTCTTATTCTTCTGGGTGGGGGTGGGGGGGACGGCGGGGCCTGGCCAGGGGAGGCCACGCGCATGTGTGAGGGCCAAGGGGGGGGGGGCTCGGGGCCCCACCGCGGGGGACCCGCGGCGTCGCGCCCCCGCGGGGCCGGCAGTGTCCCCTCCCTCCCTCCCTTCCTAGGGAGCCCATAAAGGACGTACGCGCCCAGCTATGTACATGAACACGGCCCCTCGATCCGCGAAGCTGGCCGCGCTATACGAACATCTGCGCCATGCGAACTCTCGAAACCAGCGTGGATTCATGTACGTGCACGTCCTTCTTTCGCTCCTCCCTCCCGGGGAGGGCCCAGCTGGCCCCCTCGCCAGGAGGGGCCCGCGGCGCCGTGCTGGCGCGTCGCCTCGGCGCCCAAGGGTGGCGTTGGTCTTGGCTTCGCGGCAGTGCAGAGTTGAAAAACACGATCGGCGCCCCCCCCCCCAAAAAAAAAACTATCGGCGCCCCCCCCCGAAAAAAAAACGATCGGCACCTGCGGTGGGTTCCTTCCTTCCAGGAGCCCGTCCGGGAGGCCCGCGGCGTCGTGTGGGCCCGCCGCCGCGGGGCCCACGGGCGGCGCCGGTCCTGGTGGCGCAGAGCTGCGGCAACGCTGGATCTCTGCTGCTGCTGCGAGTCGGTGGGGCACGGCCCAGCAGCAGCGGATGTGTAATGCGGGATGACGATTAATGAAAAAATGAGACAGAGAACGATTAAAACAAATAGCCTTCTGCGATTCCTGCACACTTTTTCTGACTGGAGGAGAACGACAGACAAATAGTTTTCCAGCCCGCGGCCAGTTTTTTCTAATCGTCACCCTGGGCGCCGCCGCGTGAACACGACCCCTGGTCATTTATCAATCATCACCCTCCATTATGGACATCCTCTGGACACACGTCCAGGCCCACTGGCGCTGCGGAAAACTTGAAAGTTTTATGGTTGATCGGCGATGACCTGGGTTGTCCAGGGGGGAGGGGCCAGCCAATAACCGAACCTCCGCGCTGTGGGCAGCCCCGCACATGCCCGTGCGCACATGCCCGTGCGGCCCCTCCACCTGCCAACGATGCTGCGACGATGCTGGGATTCCTTCTGCGACGATGCGGGCGCCGTCTGGGAACGCCGAAGGGTATGTGAAGGAGAGGCTTGGACCTGCTCCACCCACAGAGTGAGGTGATCCGTTGGGGCGGGAGGGGGAGGCGAGCCCGATATAAAACAGGGCTAGGATCGGGATAAATCGCTCCAGAGCGTTCCGGAGCGCCCTCAGAGCGTTCCGGAACGCTCTGGAGCGGCCGCGGCGCCCAATACATCCTCCAAACCCGCCGATTCTCAGAGATTTCGAGTTATCCCGATCCGATTTTGTCCCGATCTTCGCGTCGTTTTACCGATAACCCGGGTGATCGCCGGACCTTTTCGAAAAGCAGCCTCTAGCGACGGGACAGCCCCTTCTTGGCTGAGCCGGACGCGCGCCGCAACGCCAGGCAGCCACGCGGGCCCCCCCCCCCCGAGATTCGGTCTCTTTACAACCAGAACAGCCACTTTACAACCAGATGGGTTACTTTACAACCAACATAGGATTGGAAGTATGGTTTTTCATCGAGAACGTCCACTTTGCAACCAGAACAGCCCGCTTTACAACCAGAACGGACCACTTTACAACCAGAACGGGCCACTTTACAACCAGAACGGACCACTTTACAACCAGCTCAGAGTGGCCGTGCGTGTTTGGGCGTTCCGCAAAGTGCTCCAGAGCAAGTGGGCGCTCTGAAAAATGCCCCAGAGCAAGTGGGCGCTCTGAAAAATGCCCCAGAGCAAGTGGGCGCTCTCAAAAGTGCTCCAGGGCGCGCGGACGCTCTGAAAAGTGCTCCAGAGCACGTGGGCGCTCTGGAGCCCGAGCGCCTGAACTCTTTGCGCAGGCCCCAGCGATGCCTCTGAGCCCGAGCGCCTGGACGCTCTGAGCAGGCCCCAGCGATGCCTCTGAGCCCGAGCGCCTGGGCGCTCTGGCGCTCTGAGCCCAGCAGACTAAGACAGGGCTTGCTAGCAGGGGCCAAGCGGCCTCAACAAGGGCCCCGTGCTCGCACGGGAATAAGGCGACAGCATACGTAGGAAGGCTCAGGGCGACGCGCTGCCCATTTTAGGGACCACTCACAGGAAGCGAGCCCAGTGGCCTCCACAAGGGCCCAGCGCTCCAGGGAACTAGGCCATTGGCACCGCGGGTCTCTTGCGCCACGTTGGCCCCTGAAGCCCCACGGTGTTCTGCAAGGGGCTCAGCGCTCCAGCTCCAGTTGGCCCCCTGCTGCTCCTCTTCTTGGAAGATCGAGGTTCAACGTTCCGAATAAATGCAACTATTTCGAAGATCGTTCCTTCCAGCGTCAGCCACAGCGCCAGCGCAGCAACGCAGGTATCCTGCTCGGGCAGCAGCCTCAGCCACCGTGCCAGCGCAGCAGCTTGAGCCACCGTGACAGCGCATCACCGCCACCTTTGTGCCTGCTACCACCAAACTTACCGCTGCAGCCCCGCTACCTCCACAATTCCGACTGACCCCCCGCTACCACCGCAAATCCCATTGCAGCCCAGCTACCACCACAGTTCCCACCGCTGCCTGGCGACCACCACAGTTGCCACCGCAGCTTCCCAACGCCATGCAGTTCCCATTGTAGCCCCCGCTACAGCTTCCCACTACAGCTTCCCACTACAGCTTCCCACTGCCATGCAGCCACATCTCCCACTACAGCTTCCCACTGCCATGCAGCTCCAGTCTTGGACGGGATCATGGTCTATTCGTATGCCCTGCGCGACTAGCCTTCGCCCGTCAGAAAAAAAAAAGGCAGAGCAAGCAATGGCAGAACTGACCGACAGAGCTTAGAGAGCAGGTCAAAACCCTAATCCGCCCACCAGCACGCAACATACCATAGCGCACCAGGTCGCCGCATCGCCAACGCGTGCGCAGTGCTTCTTCGTGCGCGATGGGCAACTTTACAACCAACATGCCTCAGAGAGTCCAAAGCCACCCTTGCGCTTGCCCACGGAGATTCCAGGGAAAAACCCGCGTGCATTGAATATGTGTTTTTACTTGCCTGGTTGTAAAGTGCCCTTCCTGGTTGTAAAGTGCCCTTCTCGGATTTTGTAAGCTGGTTGTAAAGTGACCCATCTGGTTGTAAAGTGCGCTTCTGGTTGTAAAGTGACCCACACGCCCCCCCCCCCCCCACGCGAGCATGGCCGCCGCTGCAGTTGGCGGCGCGCAGGAGCCTACCAGACCCCCTCGCTTCGTGAACAAAATTAGGGCAGAGAGTTTGGGACAGCCTCCGCCTCTGGCGGCCCTCACAGGGCGTCGGGGTTGGCAAGCCACGGCTCGAGATGAAACACTGGTGCTGCAGGGAGGGGTCCAGACCCCCCGGGGCCCGCGTTGTGACACAAACCACGACGTTGGAGTTCTGGGGAGCTGGGGATTCGGTCGCCCTGCACCTGCCACACAAAGTTGAGGTACCCGTCGCCCCGGGGCACCGGGAAGAGGAACATGGGGCACGCTCCCGCGTTCCCGCTGATGGCGTCGTACTCCTCCTTGGCCATCGTGCCGGCGACCTCGCTCGCGTCGTCCTCAAAAAAGAACCAAGAAACTGCACAGACCTAAACATTCGGAGGCCTGCGCCAGGGGGGGCGGCAGATCCGACACGAGGAGTCCGCGCGGACCTCTGGATGTCGATATTTAGGTCGGGCATGTGCTCCTGCAGGCGGATTTGGGGCGAAAACTGAAAAATTATCCAAACACCTTCAAAAATACTCAACAATAGTCGGAAAATCGTCCCCATACGATTTTCTCACCATTCTGGAACATTCCCTCTGTAGAGGGGCACGCCCGACGTAAGTCTATGTTTCTGGCACTGGTTTGCCCTGCGGCTCCTGGAACTTCTCCAGCCAGATCTCGCGCACGCGCACGGGAGACTCCTTCATGAGCAGGGGGACGTGGGCGATGTCGCCGAGTTTCGTTAAGGCGCCAGGGGTGCCCGGCGACAGCGCCTCCCTGGCTGAGCTGGACGCGCGCCTGGACGCCAGACAGCCACGCCAGGCACCCACCACACGAGCATTGCCGCCGCTGCCGCTGGCGGCGCGCAGCATCCAGACCCCTCCCGCTGTGACGCAATCGCGACAGAGGGCTCTGGTATCTGTTCGGCGTCTTGAGACCTGGATCGGGATGGACGGCCAGTCCAGGGCAAAGGGGTCCAGACCTCCGGGGCCCGCGTGCTGCAGAAAAGCCACAAGGCTGGAATGCTTGGACACCCCACGGCTCCCTTGGTGCAGACGCCGGGCGGGCTAAGAGAGGAACCCCAGGGGGGACTCCCGCGCCCCCCTGGGGGTCCGCTTCCCCACGGTTTCCTTCCGAGCCCGTTCGGCGTCTTGGCCCGCTCGGCCGCCGAGTGAGCAGCCGAAGGGGCTCAAGTCCGACAGGGCCATGAGGGTTGAGCCCGTTCGGCATCCGAGTGGGCTCGGTTTCGAGCCCCCTCGGCGGCCGACCGAGCTCCGACGCTGAACGGTTTCCGAAGGGAGCAAGGGGGCAGTCATCCCGAAGGTACTGCCAGCGTGCTGCCATGGGGGACGCTCAAATGCGGAACGAAGATAAAGGGGCCCAGGGACACGCAAATTCGCCGGCCCAACGGGCCAGGGCGTGCTAAGATCTCCGGTACCTGGTTAACAGTATTTCTAGTTCGCGGGCGGCCCCTGGGGGTCCCCAGACGAAAAGTACCCCGGCAAGGTCCCGGCAAGGTCCCGGCAAGGTCGGGCCAGAGATGCCGGAGCCCTGTTACAGGGCCCCAGGACGGGCCAAGAGGTCCCCAAGAAGCCTCCAAGACGGTCCAAGAGGGCCCCGAGACGGCCAAAGATCGCCCGAAGACGCCCAACAGGGCCCCAAGACAGCCCAAGAGGCCTCCAAGACGCCCTAAGGGCCTTCCAAGAGGCCTTCGAAGAGGGCCCCAAGAGGCCAAAATCGTTGATTTTCATTGTTTTTTTCTATGTTTTTTGCGTTCTGGCTTTTTCGGCTTCCGGACGCTCCAAGACGGCCCAAGAGGCCCCCAAGACCGCTCCAAGACGGCCCACGAGGCTCCCAAGACGGCCCCGGAACGGCCCAGGAGGGCCCCCAAGACGGCCCAAGTGCCGCCCAAGACGGACCAAGAGGCCCCAAGACGGGCCCAAGAGGGGCTCAAGAGGGGAACCGAGAACTGAAAAATCGAGCCCTCCGCCCCAGAAGGCGCCCAGGAGGCCCCAAAAAGGCCCCAAGAGGCCCCCAAGAGGCCCCCAAGACGCCCCAAGAGGCGCCCAAGAGGCCCAAAAGAGGCCCCAAGAGGCCCCAAAACGGCCCCCAAGAGGCCCCAAAACTCGGCTAACCCACAACGGTGCGACAATATGGGCCGGCGGAATGAGCGAAGCGATTAAATAAATAGACACGAATCCCAGGATCCCAAAACTTCCATATATTTTCTGAGGTTTCGTCTACCCCCACACTTCCCAGATTTTCCTGGGAGTCGCCGATTCAGTGTCTGTGTGGTTTTTTCCCCTCCTGAGAAGAGAGGCTTCTGACGAGGACGAGCCTCGGCCACGAAGGGTACTGACAGCGTGCTACCACGCGAGTGCGTGGCTGGGGCCAGTGTACGCCCGCTGGGGCGTCCACCCCTCGCTGCGACAGCATCGCCACGGATGTGCTGCGAGCGTGCTACCACGAGGAACGCTGCAATACAGCACGGAAAGGCTCCGCTGGTCCGCGGCGAGCGTCGGCCACAGAGGAGCTTCCCGGCCCGATATCGGATGGAACGACCCGAGAATTGGAGGCTCTTTTTGAAAACACCCACACACACACCCCACCCACACACACACACACACACATCACATACACACACACACACGCACACACACACACACACACACACACACACACACACACGCGCACATACACCCACACACACACGCGCGCACACACGCGCGCGCACACGCGCACACACACGCGCGCGCACACGCGCGCGCGCACACGCGCGCGCACACGCGCGCGCACACGCGCGCGCACACGCGCGCGCGCACGCATGCGCGCACGCGCGCGCGCACACCTCGGGGAGAAGCCCCGCAACGGGGGGACGGAGAGCCCGAGACCGCCCAGTCTGGCAGCGGCCCGGCCTCCATGCCGCTCAAGGCTCCCTTACGATCTCTGCTCGGGCTCCGCGCCCTCGCCGCAGGTGTCGGCTAATTACGCCGTGGGTCTGGGCGGCCCTGCCCCCCTGTAAAGGCTATACGATGAGGTGTACATGGCCGCGCTCTCGCTCCTGTCCCGGTTGCGAATCGACGCTAATCGATACTAGTCGACGCTGAATCGACGCTAATCGACGCCAAGCGACGCTCATCGACGCTGAATTGGCGCGAAATCTTCGACTACCAGACGCGAATCGACGCCAGTGCATTCTGAAGACGGCATTGCGCGGATACACAAGGCTCCCATGATTTGAAACGGACCCCCTCTGTTCACCCCGCCGATACAATCAATCACCTACACATCGTTCATTCCTAATCGTGCTCGTTTCTAATTGTGCTCGGTTCTGATTGTTCCTGGCCCCCTGGTGGCCAGGAAGAGGCCCAGGACATAAGAATTAGAAATGAAGGGATCTTGGCCCCCCCAAAGAAGAAAAGAGCTTTCGAATAAGTAGAAGTGAGCAATGTGTACTCCTCGACCCGCCTTTTCACTAGAAGTGAGCAATGTGTACTCCTCGACCCGCCTTTTCACTTGCACTGCTGGGGTCACGTTCTGCGGGGTCGGTCGCGCAACTCCCCCAGTGAAGACGGCAGCCCAGACACCGAAGTCGAAGAAGCTGTTTCACGTCTGCAGGGGTGGGCCAAGTGGTCTAAGACAGTCAGACGCCGGTCAGCAAGCGGTGGGGTGCACCGAAAGCGACCGCAGGGACATCGAGGAAACACGACCCCATTGAACAAATCATAGCGTCGGAGATCTGGGGGGCCCGAAAGAGTGACCACCCGAGGCACCGAAGAGCCCGCCTCGATCCTGCCACGGCCACTGCAGACCCGGCCACACAGACCCCCGACGTGGCCCCACTCAGATCATTGGATACCAAGCTTGTTCGGCCGCGACCGACGAGAGCGGTCGCTACCGATTCGGCCTCAAATCTTACCATCGGCCGCGACCGATGATGGAATCGGCCGCGATCGGCTGCGACCGGTCCGGTCGCTCTCGGACGCGATCGACAAAATCTAGCATCAAACGACCTGGGCAAAGGCCTGGCGTTAAGTCGGGCCTGTCCCCCTACAGAGGATTTTCGACGAAAAATAAAAAATACCCCAAAATTCAAAAAGATACTCCAAAAATGGTCTGGGGACTACTTTTTGATTATTTTTTTGCCTTTTGGGGGTACTTTGGGGGTATTTTTTGTCGAAAATCCCCCTGTAAGGGGACACGCCCGACATAAGACTGGCGCCCTGCCCAGCGACCGGCCTTCCACCCCGGGACACTGATGCACGACCCCAGGACCCGGCGAGGGCCCCCCGCAAAACCCAGAAACAGGCTAAAGCCTGCCGAGGGGGTGATCGAAGGGCAGGGCTGGCGGGGCCACCACGAGCTCGGGACGAGGAGGAGGGAGGAGGGAGGAGGGAGAAGGGAGGAGGGAGGAGGGAGGAGGGAGGAGGAGGAGGAGGAGGAGGAGGAGGACATGGAGGAGAAGGAGGAAGAGGAGGAGGAGGAGGACGAGGAGGAGGAGGAGGAGGAGGGTTTTTGGCGAGGCGAGGGGGCCTGCCGTTCGGTCCAGCACTCGGGCCGCTGGCGGCCGCTCGGGACGGCCCGGGCAACCCCCACGAAGGCCCTCGACGAGGCGCTGCTGCTGGGAGGCATCCCGAGCAGAGGAGCCCCCTGAGAGCCGACGAGGACTGCCGAAAACCCGCGAGGGGCTCCAGGAACCTCCCAGAACCTCCCGTCGCGATTGCTGTCCACGCCGCAAGGAGCTCAGCTGCCACGATACGCAGCACACAACACGTAGAGTGTGGGCACGGTGCGGCCCGTTCGCCAAAACGTGGACCAACACGTGCCGAGCCAACGCGCAGCGTGTTAGCACGGTCGTTTTGAACACGGTACGCGTTGCGTCTCCAAACGGGCGTACCGGGGCAGCTAATCACATGAAGCTTCGAAGCGCCGCGCGGATTTCTTGGATCTGGGCACTGGGCACCCCTTGCGGCCCCTCTGGGCACGCCATGGAGGGGGCTCCAGCGCCGATGCAAAAAGTCCAGGCGGACCTCCGAGAAGAGATGTGCTCGCGCTGGCGCGTCGAATCCTGCAGAGCGCGGCACGAGCTGCGTTGCAAGAGGGGCGTACCAGTCGGTCGGGTGGCAGTGGGGGGGCGACTGAAATGGGGGGTGGAGAAGAGGGCCCCCACGTAGGTGACCCCACCGTGGCCACCCGCCCGAGCTTCGAGTCCCGCAGAACGCGGCGCGCGCTGCACCGCAACACGGGCGTGACAGGGCAGCTGAGGCGGGGGGGCCCGGCCAGCGCGCCGCCGGGGCTGCCCGCCCTACCGCACGCCCAGGACGCGGGGATCAGGCCGAGGGCGCGGGCGCCGCGCCGCACCTGACCAGCCTCCTCCTCCTCCTCCTCCTCCTCCTCCTCCCTCCTCCTCCTCCTTCCTCCTGCTCCTCCTCCTCCTCCTTCCTCCTCCTCCTCCTCCTCCCTCCTCCTTCCTCCTCCTCCTCCTCCTCCTCCCCCTCTTCCTCCTCCCTTCTGCTCCTCATCCTCCTCCTCCTCCTCCTCTTCCTCCTCCTCCTCCTCCTCCACCTCCTCCTCCGTAAGATTGGCGAGCCCAACGGCGATGACAATCTTTGGGCGGCGCGCACAAGGGGGTAGGGGGACGGGCGAAGGCTTGTTGGGAGTCTTTCTCTTAGAGGGTGCCGGCCCTGTATCTGTGGAGAGGGCCCGCGCCGCAGGGGTGCGCCAAAAAGAAATCTTCCCCCCTCCTCCTGCCCCCCCCCCTGTGCGTGGCCGCATCTCAGGGGCGCGCGCCCTCAGACCCTGGGGGATGCCTTGAGCTCGACATCGAGATCGGGCGCTGGTGGGAGGAGGAGGAGGAGGAGGAGGAGGAGGAGGAGGAGGAGGAGGAGGAGGAGGTGGAGGAGAGAGGGGGAGGAGGAAGGGAGGCAGGGGGAGGGGAGGAGGAGAAGGAGGAGGAGGAGGAGGAGGAAAAGGAGGAGGAGGAGGAGGAGGAGGAGGAACTCCTCGTGTTAGAGGTGCGGGTATGCCCCTGGGGCTGGTGAGCACCAGCGGCGCGCCCGCCGAGCCCAGCGCGGAGGCCGCGGCCGCGGCGCCCGCCATGCGCCCGCGCGCGCGCCGGCGCTCGGGCCTCGAGGTCCTGATGTATCCAGGTGTCGAGCCCGGCGTTTTCCCAGGTCTCGGGCAAAGGCTAGGTT